GGGGACACAGAAGGAGTTGATTCAAGGATTGCAACTGACATAGGTGCTAGTGAACCTAAAAATGGGCCTGAGATTGAAGCAGACATAGGCGTTAGAGTGGTCAGAAGAAGTCCAAGGAAACATAAACAATCTGATTACCCTCCACTACCATTGCAACTTGAACCTGTTTCATCCTTATCCTCTAAAACACTAGTGTTAAGAAAGAAAGTGCCAAATACAACAGCTAGGAGAAAAGGGTTGTTAGCTACTAGTAGTTCAATGTCTATATCTAATGGTGGAACACATGACATAGTTTCACTTGAAGATTTGGATAATCTTTAGTTGTTTTATAAGAAAAGCACTTTTTGTTAATGGACCAAGTCAACCAAAAGCTTAAGCTGATGGTTGAGGCCCAGGAATATGTTTTATACTCTATCACTCCCCCTCACACGAGAGCCCGTTTGGGCTAGAAGTGTGGATGCAGCATGGGCCCTCCTCATACCCAGCGCTTAATACCCAGCATGGGCCCGTTTGCTTAATATGTTTTATACTCTATCACTTTTAATTGTATAAATTAGAATTTAGAATAAAATAGGACAAATAATTTCAACTAGACCCCCACTGATATGATTTTTAAGGCATAATAAAACTTTATTAGCGTTCGTTAATTATGATTAGTGAGTTGTTACACTACTTGTTGAAAATTCAATTAGCAACAATATTATTAAAATAAATATACACTAACAAGTTTAGGATCGGATATATATATATATATATATATATATATATATATATATATATATATATATATATATATATATATATATATATATATTTTTTTGAAAGAAGGATCGGATATATTTTGAATATTAGATATCAATCATATCATAATAATTTTAAAAAATTAAAATGAAATACTTTATATTTCACAAGTATTATTGACAAAATCTACCTCCATTTTTGTTATTTGCAGCAATGCAAAATGGGTATTGTATGTTTATGACACATAAAATATTTTTTTGTTCATTCATAATTAACTAAAATTGCACATGTTTTTTTTTTTATTATTATACTCATTTTTCTTTGGGAACATTAAATTTACTTTACCTTGCACTTTTATACGAATATATACTATACATATATATTTAGAGTTCCATCACCCCTCCAAAAAAAAAAAAAAAAAAAGAAAAAGAATCTATCAATTTATTACTTTTTGGGGATTTAAATCATATTTTGTACATTAATTTAACCCTTAAATTAATGAGTCATTTAAGATGGGAATATGTGTTAGAATTAAATTTGGTTTTTATCTACGTACAAATTAATGAGTAAAAAGTAATTTATTTATTTATTTTTTGACAAGAAGTCCTAATAAAGAAAATACACACAAAAACTAGAAGGACCGGCTAAGCAATTGTCGACGACAAGCTTGAGTAGCCAACCAGTGAGCAGGGGCAACCCACTGACGAGGAACCTAGCGAAGTTTGCAGATAGAGAATTGCAAGACCGAAAGCCGAATCTCGTGAAGCAACCAGTGGCAAGAAATATCTCCGTCACCATCATCTCGCAGAAGAGAAAAAAGATTCGAACAATCAGAGTAGATAAGAAGACAACCAAAGTGTCGACGACCGGCAACCCGAAAAGCCCACAAACATGCCTGTAACTAGGGGTGAGCAAAAAATCAGGGTACCCTGAATCGGAACCGGAACCAGAACCTGTACAAGAGGTTCCGGTTTCGGGTAGCAAACTGGAGAACCTGTTGTAATAGGTTGCGGTTCAGGTTCTCAATTTTTTGGAACCGGATGCTGTAGGGTACCTTGTACCTGATAAAAGTATCACTTAATTTCAAACTATACACTAATTCTTAATCAATTTTTTAAATAATAAATATCAAAATTACAATTATAAAAATATATATATTAAATTTGTTAGACAACTACTATTAGTTTGTCTTATTTGCAAGTTGCAAACATTATAAACTAGTGACCAACCAGTTTTTTATTTAAAATTCCGCGAAAAAATTAGTGAGTATATTATAATACAGGGTACCCTGAATCGGAACCGGAACCTACAGGTTCCGGTTCCCAATTTTCAGGAACTTGTACAACAGGTTCAGGTTCCGTTTCTCATTTTGAGGAACCTGTTGCAACAGTTTTCGGTTCCGGTTCCTGGAAATTTTACAGGGTACCCTGTTATGCTCACCCCTACCTGTAACTCATACTGAAGGGCCAAAGAGGAGTAATAGGCTCTCGAGCCCCCAACACAAAATCTGAAAACACTTCCCTAACAATCCAACCTGCTCCTGCACTAAGATTATGAGCACTCCAAGCCCCATAAAAAAGAAGGCAAACGTCAAAAGCAGAGGAGAACTCACCCTGTAGATAGCATGAATCAGAAGCTGCCGAAGTAGGGAGAGATGAATCCCCTAACGAGCGAACAAGGCACCTGAACCCTTGCGCTAAAACACTCCTAGAGACCCCAATCTTGCATCAAATGGAAAATCGCACCAGGAGACAACACTGCTTGTCTAAAAACCTTGTGGTTACGCACAATCCAGACTGCCCAACAAAAGGATACAAAGGAGACCAAACCGTCCCAATTCCGAGAGGAACCGAAGCTTAGAGATTGTATCAACAAACCAATCAGTAAAAGGCTTCCTATGTAGAAGAGGAGAAGAAAAGGCAATAGGCGCACAAGCCCAAAGATGAGAAGTGAATGAACAATCACGGAATAGGTGGTCTGATGTTTCCCGTTCTTGGTAACAGAACACACAAGTTGGATCGATCGGAATCCCTCGAAGCTGCAGATTCCCAAAGAGAGGCAGAGCATTGTGAAGTAATTTCCAACAAAAACACTGCAGCTTTGGCATAAGAGGCAACCCCAGAAGTGTTTCCACCAAGAGGCCGAAATTGTACCCGAGACCCCAGAAAACACCGAATGACTGAGCAACATTGCGTAAGCAGACTTAGTGATGAAAGATCCATTCCTAGAAAACTTTCAGTAGACGAAATCATCCATCGGCTGAGGAGGGCGATCCAAAGCCATGATGCAAAGTACTCCCGATGAACTAAGATCGAATCCCACGCGTAAGAACGCAGATTAATAATAGAAGAAACATGTGTTGGAGGATCCGACACACCAGAACCATCACGAAAAACAACAACCCCCCTGGGACCAAATCATCCTCAAGTATCCAAACCTTAGAAGCCGAACCAACCTTCCAAGCTATACCTCGATCAAGAGTGGATAGGCCGGTTGAAAGGCTACGACAACCCCAAGAAGACCGAGGAATCGTCCGAGTCTTAAAAGAACGAAGGGAAGGATACTTAGGAGTAAGCAGCCTCACGCAAAACCAAAAGTTAGGGATGTTGATGAATGCGCCAACATTGCCGAGCGAGAAGTGCAAAGTTAAAGATTTCCAATTGACGTATACCTAAACCTCCCAGCCCTTTAGGCAAATGAAGAAGAGATTTCGAACGCATCGCTAAACCTCGAGATTGAGAATCAAACTTCCACCAAAATCGAGCCAACAAGTTATCAATGCGAGAACAGACCGAAGGAGGAACTTTAAACATTGACTAGATATGATTGAAAGAAGCGACCAAAATCGAATTAATGATTACTAATTTAGCAGTAGAAGACAAACCAACAACCACAAAATCAGAAAGTCGCTTAACCACTTTGTCAATAGAAAGCAAAAGTCAGCCACCTTACTTCGACTGAACTCAACCGGTAGCCCAAAATAAGAACCAAGAGAGGGCTTGCAATGAAGTTTCAGACTACTAGAAAGATAATCACGATAATCTTCCGGCGTATTTAGGCTAAACTTAACGAATGACTTTTGTAACTTAATCACCTGTCCTGATAACCTGCAAAACTCAGTCAGGAGAGCCATAAGACTGTCACATGATGTAGGAGACACTTGTAAAAACAACAAGGAGTCATCCGCGAAGAATAAATGAGAAAGTGAGGGAGCACCCCTGGAAATACTGATTCCCTGAATAAGAGAGTAAAAAGTATTTGCTGATTTAGTGTATGAGCAAATGATTTATACTTCTTAATTTGTTTGTTGGTGAGAAATTCTTCTTAGGTCACACAATTCACAAGATTAAACTAATCCTAGACTTCCAACTATGGCACTTGGGGGAATGGATGCATTATGCTTCTCCCTCACTTCGAAGGGGAGTGGATGCATTACGCTTCCCCCTCACTTCGAAGTGCCTAACCCGATCTGGTGCAACTCTATATACTTGGGCCTTTAATTGGTAGATATACATGATTTTTTTTAACATTAATACTTTACTAAATTTTCAATCATCTGATAAAATTAAAGAACAAATCTATGATCAACAAGTTTTCTCTTTATACAATTTATCAGCCAAAATATAAAGCAACATAATTTAACAAAAACATTAATATGTAGTGACACTAATGATTATTTACTTTGATATGAGGCGAATTTGAACTTGTAATCGTATATTTCATATCATATTATTTGGCATGTGAAAATATGAAACACACGATAACATAATTATTGACCATATTAACAAACTATGAACACACCGACTTATCAAGGCGAGCTTCACAAGGCAATGACGAAGCCAATGAGTACTTTAACATAACAGAATATAAAAAAACATTATAAATTATATAACACACTAATGAGTTATGCAGGTATACTTGATTTATTTTGATTGAGCCATTGTTCTCTTCATCTAATTTTCACATACTTCAAATCTAATAAGTTAATTTGAGCCAACTTTGAGTCGAGTTGCTTTCGAATTTGAAATTTTCAGATTGATATTGGTTCAGTTCGAGTTATTTTGGGTTTTAGATTATCATCTTCGGGTTATCATTTTCAGGTGAAACTAGGGTCTTGGATCAGATCTATTTTTTCATATTCAACTGTCATCCAACTTGTACATGTTCAAAACCACCCCTAAATTTAATATAATTAAAAAATCTTACCCTAAATTAAATATTTTACCGTTCATATCAAAATTTTTAATAAATCGGGTCCAGTCTGATTTAATTAATTGATAAGAAACCTTCCAAAGACTGTATAGTGTATACAAGTACAGCTCCACAAGTATACAACCGTACATGATACATGTGATATACTGATCTATCCCCGAACCAAAAGTTTCAATAAAGATATTTTGATGGCAAATTGGCAATAAAGTCGGTATTCATCATACAACCCCAAAAAAAAAAAAAAAAAAAAAAAAAAATTCACATACCTAACTCAAAACTTTTTATTATTATTCCCCCCCAAAAAAAGTATTATTATATTTAAATCCAACCAAAATCCTATAATAGTTCGGTAACCTCATATACGGCGGCCCTTATTATAAAATCCCCAAAAAAACACCCTATTCATTCAACCAAAACAAAATAGTAATACCAGAAAAAAGAAAAAAAAAAACATTCAACAAACAAAGAAATATAAAAAAACCAAGAACAAAATAGATCAAATCAATCCAATTTCTATGCCATCAAAATCAGATCAATTGTTCGTAATTTTCATCTTCGAATTCAAATCCGAATGAGCTTATTTGATAAACTTCGTTCTTCTCCTCCTAATATTCATAATTGCCGCCTTATTGCTGGCATTCTTCTTTTTCTTCTTTTTCATTCTTCTCAATTAATTTCCAATTTCTTGCTTCCTATAAAACCCTAATCTCTCCTTTTTTTTTTTCATTTGTTTAATCTTATCTGATTTAATCTAAACAAATCCAATCCTTTTTTTTTTTTTTTTTTTTTTTTTTTTTTTTTTTTTGGAGTTTTAATTTGTTGAATTTCGTTCAATGGAGCATAATCAACCCGTCGATCAAATTTTCAATGGTTTGTTTTCTCTCTCTTGATTTTTTTACGTTAGATTTGTTATTTTTAGTTGATTTAGTTGTTTTTTGGTGGATTAGTTGTTAATGATGACTTATTCTAGTTTTTTAATTGATTTATTTGGCAATTTGTTATTTTGATGGTGCAAATCATGATTTTGTAATGCTGGTGATGATTTTGTTTTGTGATTTAGTATAATGAATTATTTGATACATTGAAAGTAGGCCCGCTCCCATAACCCCACGGGAGGGTAAGGCATCCAGTTAAGGATGGATGATTACGCTTCTTCACCTTTGACGCCTCAATTTGAAAGCAGGTTCCGTAAGTCCAAGCCTAAACAAGGCAAGCCAAATATTGAAATTCATGCAGAAATATTTTGGATGAATTGGGCGACGGATTAATTAATTAATTAAATATTTTTAAAATATATTTTTATTATGCAGTATGTTTTATTTTCTAAATATTGATCAACTAGCTGGAATTTGTACTAGTGAGAATCTGAAACTATGCTTAGAGTAGCTGATTTTATATGCAATTGATTTATTTCCTAAAATCTTGTTAATTTTATACTAATTTGGTTTTCTAATCATTTAATTTTATTATACAGTATGTTTTATTTTGTTTGTAATTATGTTCATTTATGGAATTTGGAGGTGGATGGGGTGTTTTTACATTGAAGCCAGTTGATTTCGAAATTCTGTTTTCGGTTAGTTGATTTTGATTCGGGGATTTTGTGCACATTCTTCTTTTGGGATCAGCTCTGTTTATATTGGGAGTATAAGACTATAAGATGACTCATCTTAGCCTATTTTGGTATTAGATGATTAACTCAGCTAAGCTTATCTTGATAGTACAGAGTAGATGATTGACAAAGCTAGCTAAGCTATAAATGATTGGCTTAGTTAAGATGAGTGGCGTTTTTTTTTTTTTTTTTTTTTTTTTTTTTTTTTTTCTACATGTAATTCAATGATAAAAAGAGTTCTATAAAATGGTATGCTTGATTTTTTGTTATGATATACAGAACGTTTGTGATTGAAGATTAATTTTTTCTCCTTGTAATATAAAATCGGTATGTTTGATCGTTAAAATGTACCGAACGTTCGGGATTGGTCATAACTAATAAATGTAGAAGAATGTCGATAACAGAAAGTTCGGAATGAGGTCATAATTAAAGCTTTTGGAGATGTATATCGGGAGTGATATGGGCAGTATTTCTAATAATCATAAACTTGAGTTAAGATACATGCTGTTGTATTTGTTTGCCATAGAAAGAATAGTTTTTCTTGCATTGCTTATTATCAAGTTACTTGGAGCTACAACAGAAGTGTAACCTTATTTATTATCCCTCTTCTTGCTTAATTTTCCGTATTACCTTGACAAGTTTTCACTCATTTAATGAGCCTTTACTGGTGATTAACTGCAGCTGCGAGTGCTCGATGTATTGAGAGGCGGACCTGTGCAACTCCTACTGTCATTGTCATTGGTGGTGGTATCTCTGGAGTTGCTGCTGCTCGCTTTCTCACAAATGCGTCATTTAAGGTAACTTATTCTGTGCTTAGCTTGTCATGCGTTTATTCTGGTGTCCTCCCTCCTCCCTTTTGCTTACGTGTTTCCTGACATTTTTCTCAGGTGATTCTGTTGGAATCACGCGATAGACTTGGTGGACGAATTCATACTGATTACTCGTTTGGCTGTCCTGTTGACATGGGGGCTTCATGGTTAGTTCCTTTACTACTCTACTCTTCAGGATCTAATCTATTGTGTACTCCCCATAAATTATAATGTTACTGCACCTGGCTTATACTTATAAGCACCATAAATCTGAGCAGCAGACGTTATTAGTTAAAGTTTCTGTATATACATGTTTAATATTTTACTGTATTTTGCTAGTCTTTTTTATGCTGTCTTCCGTATAGGGGTATATTTGTTCTTGATTCATACTGTTTTTTTTTTTTTTTTTTTTTTTTTTTTTTTTTTTTTTTTTTTTCGCAATGGTTTTTGTGCATTGCTTTAGCTGTATTCTAACTATCTATGAGAAAAAGTTATCAGCATTCAATATATATGTACATTTTGCAAATGGGTTTATGACAACCATTTTTTAATGTACTTTCAGGCTACATGGTGTCTGCAATGAGAATCCACTGGCTCCATTAATACGTTCTTTGGGGCTTAAATTATATCGTACCAGTGGTGACAACTCTGTGATTTATGACCATGACCTCGACAGGTACTTTTTCTTTAAGTAATTTTTGTCTCTGCAAATGGGCAATTTGCTTTGACATGGTGCTGTGCCCACATTCTTTTTGGGGTTGGCCTTATTAGCAGTGCTATTTCAGAACACTTAGTTGCTTATTTGGATAAATGGCTTATTAATGCAATGCTGCAAGCATTGAGAGTATTGCTGCATTGTGTGCCCCCTGGTTTTTATTGCATGTTCGTGTCTATCTAGTCTTGTATAATATGTTCTGAGGATGTGAATTTGTCTCCTCAGCTGTAGCCTCTTCACTAAGGATGGACAGCAGATTTCTCAGCAGTTGGCCATTGAAGTTGGTGAAATATTTAAAAATATTCTCAAAGAGGTTGGTTGCAAAGTGATTGAATTTATGGTTAATATTATTTCTTTCCTGTCTTTTATATATAACTGCACTTCGCAAGGCACTGATTAAATGTTGTATTGCATCTATAGACTGAGAAAATTAGGGATGCCCACAGTGATGACATGTCTGTTCTTCAAGCTATTTCAATTGTGCTGGACTCGCATCCACATTTGAGGTAGGATTTAAAGAAACTAATTGATATGCAATTATGCACAAATTATTTATCATGTTAGAATTTTGTTCATGTATGTGAGCTCTACTTTTGCAGACAAGAAGGGCTGGCTCATGAAGTATTGCAGTGGTTCTTGTGTAGATTAGAAGCTTGGTTTGCTGCTGATGCAGATATGATATCCTTGAAAACTTGGGATCAGGTAATCTATTTTTCTGCGAGGGACATGCAGTCGTGTATGCAACTGCAGAGTAGTGGACGGACTATCCACATTTTTTGGACATAAAAGCTTAGTTTGACTCGTAGTCGATTAGATTTGCTTAACCTGGGTCCTCTAATCTAGTTGTCAATAGCACCTAGGCTATGTTGGACTTTTAAATGCTTAGTTGTTATTCTCATATGGACATTTCTTTTCTGTCATGTGCTAACATGTTTGTCATGAGCAGGAGCAAGTTCTCTCTGGTGGTCATGGACTAATGACGCAGGGTTATTACCCTTTGATAGATTCCCTTGCAAAGGACATTGACATACGGTTGAATCACAGGTATCTTTTTTGTACATTTAGTAACTTTGTAATGGGACATAATTAAATCAATCTTAATAAGGTATTTTATATGAAAAACTTGTATATGCTACTAAAGCTAATTTACTGATCACCAGAACCAGTATTTCTTTTCCTTCACCCCTCTTGTTCATCTTCTACTCCCCTTCCCCTTCCCTTTCCCCTTCCCCTTCTTATCTGTCAATATGATTCCAACATTACTATTCAAAGATTTCCAACTCTTCTACACTTACCTAAAAACATTAATTTTGAACTGGTATCCTGGAGTCTAATATTTGATTTTAAATGTTAAATTAAGGAAATCTATTTAAGTGCAGAATATGAAAATCTATACTGGATTACTCACAATGTTTTATATTATGAACTGCCAACTAGGGTTACAAAGATATCCAGTGAGCTTGACGCGGTGAAGGTGACCGTGGACGATTCTGAAATCATTGCTGATGCTGCAATCATTACAGTTCCTCTTGGTGTTCTGAAAGCCAACTTGATTAATTTTGAACCGAAGTTGCCAGATTGGAAGATGTCTGCGATTTCAGATCTCGGCGTGGGAAATGAGAACAAGATTGCTTTGAGATTTTCTGATGTGTTTTGGCCAGATGTTGAATTATTAGGAATGGTCGCTCCTAATTCTTTTACATGCGGTTATTTTCTTAATTTGCACAAAGCAACTGGACGCCCTGTCCTTGTCTATATGATTGCGGGAAGGTGTGCTTATGATCTTGAGAAGCTTTCAGATGAGGCAGCAGTAAATTTTGTGATGTTACAGCTCAAGAAAATGTTTCCGGATGCCACTGATCCAGTAAGTTATTATTCATAGCTCCATTCACTGCTTTCTATCTCCTTTTATATCTTAAGGTTCTTTGTATGCGCATCATCAAGAGCTTGTCAATTCGAGTACCTATTGACCATAATGAGTTATGAATTTTCTGATTCTACTTCTGCTAGGCATAGCAAGTTGATATTCATATATGATGTTAGCTGCAAGCCTGCAAGTCTCTTGTTTATAATGTTTTACGTTGTATTTGATTAAGATATCAATCAGTCTGAGAGAAGGGGAGGGGATGGGAACAGAGGGGAGGGTATGGGAAAGCTTTCATCTTCTTTCTCTATTTTTTAACATTGGAAGGATATGTTTTATTGTAAGGGAATGGAATATGGATCTTGCAAGTTGTATTAGGAAGTATTGCTTAAATTATGCAATGAATTTGTTGTTTCTGTTCTTGATGCAATAACATGATAAAGGCTCATACCAAATTTTAGTCATTGGATTTAACTGCCTTTGCTGATTTAACTTCCAGATGATACGAATGAAATTTTGCTTAGTAAGTGTTCTTACTTTCGGTTTATTGATATTTTCAGGTCCAGTATCTTGTATCTCGTTGGGGAACAGACCCTCACTCTCTTGGTTGCTATTCGTATGACTTGGTGGGAAAGCCTACAGATGTATACGACAGACTAAGAACACCAGTTGGTAGCCTCTTCTTTGGTGGTGAAGCAGTTAGTATGGAAGATCACCAAGGTTCTGTGCATGGAGCTTACTCTGCAGGAATAATGGCCGCTCAAAATTGTCAGAGCCATCTCTTAGAAAGACTTGGCAACATAGAAAAGTTCCACCTTATCCCTTGGAGGGAAGAAAGTCATGATGCTTCTATTCCTCTACAAATTTCTAGAATGTAAACAACTAAACATGAGTATGACAAACTTGACGAGGAGTTTTGATGTTTTGTTTTGTTAATAACTTCGTTATAGACGTTCAGCAAATTGTTGTACTTTGTATCTGTTTGTTGTCTTACGGATGTCATCATTTCATGCTCACAAATGCAACAGTTTTAATTGCACATCTGAAGAACTTTCTAGTTTTCATCTCCAACTTTAGCTATTCCAATAATTTTGTACACAACTGATATATTGAATACAATATGTATCACCTTAAATCACATAAAAATCTAACCGTTGCAAAGTCGATTTTTATACAATACTAATTTTGTGCCCCGTGCGATGCCCACATTGTTTATTGAAGATAAATTTTTAATCTATATGTCAAATTTTTATATATATCATTGATACAAAATTAGTTAAGAATTGATGTGCTTTTATGAGGATTTGTTATATTTTATTGAAAATTTTATAACAGAATTATAATTCAATTTGTACCTCTGAAATATTGGTATTTTATTGAAAATAAATTCTAAACTAACATTTTTATCCTAAATTAACTTTTTAATCTCATAAAGTCTATTTTAAATTTATCCAACGTTGCACGACATTTGGCGAAAAGTTATAACGCCAAGTGTCGATGCCTCGTAACCTGGCTAAAAGTTTAGCTTTATATATTAGTTATATGATGTCAATAGGTGACCTGTGACCATGTCTAATACGTCTAGTATGCTATACACAACTTGTACAAGAACAACAATCATTGGTTTGTACACCTGGGTGTACCATTTTCGGAGAAATAGTTTCAAAAAAGGTAAAAGATAATTATTAATTGATTTTTATCACGTAATAATGTTAAATTATTTCAAAATATTCAGTTTCTATCTAAAATTATCTTCTCAAAAAAATAATTCTAGGTTTTGTTTTCAGATTTCAAATTTTAAAACTTTCATTTTGTTGTAAAATAAGGAGAAATATAAAGATTGAGAGGGAATTGAAATGTGTATTCTACTTGTCTTTCATATGATGGAGTTATACATATATATATATAGTACAATAATTGATAGAGTTTGCTTGGAGAATAATAAACCCTAAACTCTAGAAAGTTCTAGAGTGAGACAAGATGGACATCCACAAATATGTTTAGATAATAATAAATCATATATCTAGAATATTCTGAATGATATAAGGAGCATAATGATCATCCACATGATATTTCATAACACTCCCCCTTGGATGTCCATTATCGAAGACTGTGGCTCGTTAAAACCTTATTAGGAAAAACCCTGTGGGATAAAAACCTAATGAAGGAAAAAGAGTACAACATTCTTCGTAATACGCTCGAGATGCTGCCTCATTTAAAACCATACCAGGAAAACCCAATGTGGGACAAAACCATGGTCAAGGGAAAAAGAGTGCAGCGCGTGTTTTCTCCCCCTGATGAATACATAACTTGAGATCTTCTAGTGTCGCAACAATGAATCCAATATGTTGGATATCTTCTAATAAGTTGGTAAAATATCACTTGTTGATCTTCGATCCTCCTAAATTGAAATTGCATCTTCAAGTCTTCATGTGGACATGTAAAGTGTTTTCATTTCACCATATATGTGTTTATCTCTTATATCACCATTCCAAATCTCTATTTAATAGTTGATTAAAAAGGTTAAACTCATGCGGTTATGACTTCTTCTGGAAGTCGTTAATAATAAATATTTGGTGATCATTATTTGATTTAACATTCATTAATAATAATTTGATGACAAAACTTGATATTATTAATGTCATTCTTCAATCTCATAAGAATTATAATATAACATATGTAATTATGTACGCTAATCATGGTTCTTCTGGACCATGAGAAAACATTCTTGCGCATAAGTATTCCATTGATATTATTTAGATGTTCCATGATTGACATGATAGCTCTCTTGTAAATACAAATAGTAAATCTTATGCTCAAAATTCAGGTTGAGATGTCAATAATGTAGTCACATAGACTTTTCAAGAGTTTGATAACAATTGCAATATTCAAGACATAAAAATTTGTAGGGTTGGGCATTTAATACGTCGTATATAAGTTCTTTAGGAACTCCTTTTACATGATTCATAACATGTTATTAAATAAGTGTCATCAATAATTTTATTACAATTATAAGCCCATTGGAATATAAATATCTCTTTCTAATTTTTCATTAAAGTTGTAAATATGTCTTACTATACTTTGAATGAACATTCACATACACCACACCCATTGTAAGAAATTAATCCATTCAATATGAGATATATAAAACATGATAACATATAAACAAATTATACAATGAGTAATGCGATAATTTCCTACATATGCAATAAACCATTAACCTATGACTCACATACACATGAATATAAGACTCAAAATGATGCAAGACACTGTACAATGTGGATTTAAAATTCCATATTTCATTGGACTTCGGGTCCATGATAAACTTATGATCATTATCATTATGTCGACATCAAAATGTGCATATATTTCAGCAGATCCCTTATTTATTAGTCCATTCCATTATGCATATGCATATTATTCATCGGTTCCATTATGTACCGGTATCATAAAATTCCTTTAACTTACATTCCGCATGCTATTTTACTATGATATCTGAATATATTTTTCATTGGCACCATCATAACGTTTCTTACATCATAGGCCATCTATTATAATAATTCAGATATCTATACCACTTTTAGGGTATTTCATACACTATGGAGTTTATATACTATTACACTATTAGTGTCAACTGCACTATCTTGCCAAATATCATATCTATTAAACATATCTTTATTTTGGAACCGATCATATACAACCTACACTCCAGGTGTACTGATTCAAGTACAATTGGCAAGGTTTTATCTCAATGTATACACATAATTAATATGACCAAAATGTATCTTCAACGCTATGCAACATGAGTCATAACTGAATACAAATCAAATCATAAATGTGCAACATATCTTGATAATATATATACAAAAGTTGGCATATATATAACTTTTCAAACTACCATTATAGGGATCATAAATATTCTTTATTTATTTAATTTTTTTTTCGATTTTCCCAACTTTTGCTATTTCTTCTCCCCCTAAGTTGGTAAAATATCTCTTTTCTAGGGGCGTCTAATTCTATACCAACTTAGTATATAAATTTGCATTAAAATTCATTTCATTGGGAGGATCACAATCAAAATTTATCTCTTCTGGAGAACAATTTCGATGAAGAATCATTTATTCATTAACTTTATATTTCATGTGTATTTATTATTAAATTTTCAATAATATTTTCTCTTCTGGAGATCAATGTCAATGGGGAGACATATGTTGTGTAGTTGTAAGTTTTTCTTTCTTCTCCTATTTCATATGTGCTGACATATAATAGCCCCAATCAAAAGAATTGTTATACAAGCATAAATCACTTGCTCGTAATTATAGTAGGTGATGATCTTCTGGATCTTTAAAGACTTAAATAGTGTATTTGGTGAGCTTCTGATCACTTGATAGTTGACAATAATATATAAGTTATTTTGGTGAACTTCTGGTCAGCCATTACTCCTTTATATAAAAAAAATCAAAACATATTAAATCTTGAAATTTTCATCAATACAAATGATTATAACTCAAATCCAAATATAACTCAATCTCAATGTTACGTCTTGCCATTCAATTCATTTTATATATTTAACATTGAGAAAGCGTCAACACATTATAAAATGAAACTTCAGGTTTCCATTACGGGTAATTATTATTAAACCCGGATGGCCTAATTTAATTATCACATCCAATCACTTCTCTAAATTTGAACTCTGGTCAGTTTTCAACACTAGTGATCACTTTATTAAACTTACTATGTGCATAGCCATGAATGTGATGTGATATTAGAACACCAACATGTGTTTCTTTATACAATTGACAAGACAATTGACTAATTAATATTTTATTCTAAAAATGTAATGAAATTTATCATTTCCTCAAATTTGTTAATCTTGACAATAGATGCTCCATTCCTTTTCCAAAAATTCTTATATTTTAACTCTATTAGAGTGCAACGCTTCAGATGTGTCCTCTGGGACAATAGTTTAATTGGTGCATTTATAATTAGTATATGATCAATCATTTATATCTATCTTCAAGATGGTATCATATAAAAATATTTAAATAATATGCATGTGGGCACTTTTATTAAGTAAATAGTTAATATTTGAGTCAATGTATATTCCAAACTGACCATCAATATATTTTATTATTTATATGCAAGAATTACATACAATCTCCCCCTAATCCTTGCATATGGGGGTATAGAATGAATCAATCCAACAACCTTTAAAAACCTTTGGCAATGTCAGGTATCAAGTAACGTGTTCCTTTTAGCAAAAACATGCTTATATAAAATTATACTTATCGAACACAATTACATTCATCTTAAAAAAAACGAAACCTCTTATATTTATGGGCTTCTTGGTCCAATGGTTAATATGTAATCATCTTTTGCAATTCTAATTAAACTTTTCAATGATTTGTAATTACGAAAACATAATGAAAATATGCTTCCTTTTAATCACATGAACTCTCATTCACTTATGGAGTGAATAAATATAGTAATTTATGTATCTTCAATACTCACTTAGAGTTCAATACCTAAAATACATTCAAAACCTTTTGTAAATTCTCTCTCATGGAATTGTGTCTATATATAGACGCTTTAGTATCGTGGATGCTTTTTAGCAACATACTTTATTAGAAACTAATAGAATTTTCTAGGTCATATACGTATCTTTATATCATTTTAGGGTTTAAAAACCTTTATAAATTTAAGGAACTTCAAATCCATATATATGTGTAAGTATTTCATGTTTAATTTATTCATTATTCTTATAATCCAATTCAACTTCATGTATATAGGTATATAAACAAAATCAATCATACGCAAATTAACATTAACACATTCACGTTAGTGGAAAACCACATGGTTCATATCATAATTGATAAAAACATAATTCAATACATAAGTTATAAATAGTTTCACATGTGCCTTAGGCTTACTTCGTACAATTTACAAACATTCAAGGCATTAGACATAAGATTTCACAAACAAAATATATGGGTAAATAATTGCTAATTCAAACCATTCATATTTGCTATGAATCATAGAGAAATAACCAAACTCATT